CTTCAATCCTTGAAGACTACCTATTTTTTTTTTTTTAAAGATTTATTTATCTGAGAGGGAAGGAGGAAAAGCAGAGGAAGAGGGAGAGAGAAACTCAAGTAGATTCTGTGCTGAGTGCAGAGCCCAATGTGGGGCCCAATCTCACAGCCCTGAGATCATGACCTGAGCTGAAACCAAGAGTCAGACACCCACCTGACTGAGCCTCCCAGGCGCCCCAAAGACTACCTATGTTTTTAAATAATAAGCATTCTTCTGTCTATTGATTCTTCCGTGAGTTTATCATAGGATCATAGTATAGAAATGAAATGGACTTTGAGATATCATCTGCCAATTGAATCTGGAAACAAGAGGTTAACATATTTTCAGTGATGAGCAAGCTTATGCCCTATTTTTTTTAAATTTTTTCTTTATTCTTATGTTAATCCCCATACATTACATCATTAGTTTTAGATGAAGTGTTCCATGATTCATTGTTTGTGCACAACACCCAGTGCTCCATGCAGAATGTGCCCTCCTCAATACCCACCACCAGGCCAACCCATCCTCCCACCCCCCTCCCCTCTAGAGCCCTGTTTGTTTTTCAGAGTCCATCGTCTCTCATGGTTCGTCTACCCCTCCGATTTCCCCCGCTTCATTCTTCCCCTCCTGCTACCTTCTTCTTTTTTTTTTTTCTTAACATATATTGCATTATTTGTTTCAGAGGTACAGATCTGAGATTCAACAGTCTTGCACAATTCACAGCGCTTACCAGAGCACACACCCTCCCCAGTGTCTATCACCCAGTCACCCCACCCCTCCCACCCCACCCCCCACTCCAACAACCCTCAGTTTGATTCCTGCGATTAAGAATTCCTCATATCAGTGAGATCATATGATACATTTCTTTCTCTTTTTGACTTATTTCACTCAACATAACACCCTCCAGTTCCATCCACGTCGTTGCAAATGGCAAGATCTCATTCCTTTTGATGGCTGCATAATATTCCACTGTATATATATACCACATCTTCTTTATCCATTCATCTGTCGATGGACATCTTGGCTCTTTCCACAGTTTGTTATGCCCTCCTATTTTAAATACCCATAATATGCTGCATTTCTTTATACATCTAATTTATTACTGGATCATGAGAGCTGGCGCATAAAGCCTGTTTCCTTGCTAACAGGTAAGATCCACCAGCCTGCTTCTGTTTTGCTCACCATGCTTCAATGGCTAGGACCCAGGGAGCTGCTCAGCGCCTATTTGCTGACTGGCCAACTGACCGATTCACTGACTCACAGAAGGCAGGCCTTGCTCCACGACCACCTATGGGAATAGCTGCATAATACAGGCCAACTCACAGACAGGAGCTGGGCAGACTGCCAGGGTCTATGTCCTGGTTCCACCATTTGTTCGCTCTGTGACCTTGGGAAAGTCCCATGAGCTCTCTAAGCTCCAGGTACTTCATCTATTAAATGGGGATAATAATAATACTTCCCTCATTGGGCTCTTCTAAGGAAAACTGGAGATTCACCATCAGCATTCTCTAATGGGCATGCAATATGGACTATCTTTCCAAAGTCAGCACTCCACGTCCCCCCACCCCGGTTAAGTAACAGAGCAGTGATCCCCAGTGGGATGCTCACATTCAAAGGCTGCCAAACCCTGCTTTAAGGAGTGCAAAGAAGAAGGCTGGCTGTTCTAAGACTTTACAAAAAACAAGCAAACAAAAACGCCCCTGTAGATAATCCTTTCCAAAAACTCATCACCTGGACTATCCAAAAGTATTGATGTCTCACTAACATCTTTGCTCTCTAATTAAATTATTTTTGCTCCAAACCAGACTCTCAAGTTAATTTAGGTAAGCCACATTCCTTCACGGAGTTTACAGAGCCTTTCAAGATCTCACCTCTGCTTCACCCTGAACGCTCAACCTTCCTTTCATCCATACAGAATCTGTTCTCTGAGAGCACCACGTTCTCCCCTCCATTCCGTTTTACAAGCTCTTCCCTCAGCCTGGCATACACTCCCTGTGCTTCTTAGCCTTAGATCTCAGCTAAACCATCACTTCCTTCAGAAAGCTTCTCTCGACCTCCCGAGAGGGGACTGGAGGTCCCTCATGAGTCTCGATAGGCCCATGCTCCTCGTCAGGACACTCATCGCTCACATCATAAATTGCTTGTTTTCTTTTCTTTTTTTTTAAGATTTTATTTATTTTTGACAGAGAGAGAGAGAGTATACAAGCAGGGGAAGCAGCAGGCAGAGGGAGAAGCAGGCTCCCTGCTCAGCAGGGAACCCGATGTGGGGCTCCATCCCAGGACCCTGGGATCATGACCTGAACTAAAGGCAGACGCTTAACCATCTGAGCCGCCCAGGTGCTCTATATATTGCTTATTTTCTTGTCTGTGTTCCCTACGAGGCTGTGAGCCCATCACTGTATCCCCTAGCTCAGTAAGTGCTCAGCAGAATCACTGAGTGAGCAAGGGAATGATAGAAGTTCAGTTCTGTGAAATAGAGCAAATGAATGAACAGGACAGTTACGTTTACTTTTTCCCTTTAGTATGTATTGGATATGGGGAAACAGCACTTTTCTTCACTTACAAAAATTTCATATCTTTATTTGCTTGAAGATATGATCAAGGTGCCCCTTAATCTGTTCTTTCCCACCTAAACAATCACCCTTATGTTGAACTCATTACATGGTAAGCCCTAAAATCATTCACTAATTTGGTCCAATGCAAGAAGCTTTTCTGCATGTGTAGATTCTAATTTACTACTATTGGGTTTTTAAAAATTAATATCTGATGCTACATTTGTCTTGAGTAATTTTAGAGGCTCAGTTATTTAAGAAATGCTCATTAACTCCTCTGTCCAGAGCACAGGGTAGAGTACTCAGGCAGAAGTTAGGGAAGGAAGGATGACTCTCAGCCCCTGCCGCCCAGAACTTTAAGTGGGTGAAGAGGCAAAGTTACCATAGCGAAAGATGAAATAAGCACATATACAGAAGATTAAGATACATTGCCTCGGGCGCCTGGGTGGCTCAGTTGGTTAAGCGATTGCCTTCAGCTCAGATCATGATCCTGGAGTCCCGGGATCGAGTCCCATATCGGGCTCCTTGCTTAGCAGGGGGTCTGCTTCTCCCTCTGATCCTCCCCCCTCTCATGTGCTCTCTCTCTCTCTCATTCTCTCTCTCAAATAAATAAAATCTTTAAAAAAAAGATACATTGTCTCGTTTTGATGTTTATGCAATCCTGAGAAGTAAACAGAACAAATACAATTTATCGCTAATTACAGACAAAAGATGGCATGATTTCATGCACACATAGGGAATGACAGACCCAGAACTTGAGCCCAGGTCTGTCCAGTCCCAAGTCCAGATTGTGCCCTGCTGGACCACTCCATGCCCAGTGAGACCTAGAGAACCAAGTGAAAGGCAAGGCCAAAACATAGTGTGAGTTCATATGACATCACACAGGAGAAACCTCCTCCTCAAAAGCCCCAGAGACAGGTAACCCGCAGTGCTTAGGGCGTGGGGTGAGTTGCACAGTTTGATATCCCACTTCCCAATAAATGTGCACAATCTCCATTCAGGCATTTTGCTGGAAGAGAATATCATTTTTCCTCCCTTGGTGGAGAAAGAAGAGCAGCCTACCCCAAGAAGTTCTTTTTTTTTTTTTTCTAAGATTTTATTTATTTGTCAGAGAGAAAGAAAGAGAGCACAAGCAGGAGGAGGGGCAGAGGGAGAGGGAGAAGCAGGCTCCCCGCTGAGCAAGGAGCCCCATGTGGGGCTCGATCCCAGGACCCTGGGACCATGACCTGAGCGGAAGGCAGACACTTGACTGAGCCACACAGGTGCCCCAAGAAGTTCTCTATCTTAATATGTGAACTAAAAAATCAAAATGACAGTTTAGCAAGACATGGGAGTTTTGTCTTTTCACTCTTATTTTTGCTTTACATCAAATCAAAAAACATCTAGGTCCACATTAAGAGAAGTAAATTAGTAGTAGGGGCACCATTATTTTACCCAGCATAAAATTATGTCCTCTGTAAACGGGAATATCAAGTAGCATAAAAAGCCTAGGTGATTTACATTTTCTTTTTGATTAGAGGATTGCATCTACTATACTCAAGGAAGGAAAATCTCTCCCATTTAGCTTTTGAAGATCAAAGGGGCCATTAAATATGCCATATTACCAGCTTTTTTTTTTTTTTTTTTTTTTGGTTAAGACCAGGAGGTGCTTTACAAATTGAGATTGTCATGAGGAAAAGGGAAGACTTTATTTGGGGTCATATGCCCTGATTATGGACTAGCCCACGTCCCTCTGGCGGGACCATATGTTTAACCTTTTGCTGAAATAGGGCTGTCCTACAGCTAAGAGCACACACTGACCTGTGTTCTGTTTTGTGTGCATCCATGTGACAAACCAAAAGAATACAAACTAAGAACTTTTCAGTGAGCCACCATCTGATTCTGAACATTGGGGATCTTTCTACAGCACATGTGATAAAATCTACAAAGACAAAATGAAAAGCAAAATACTTAAAAGGAGGATAAACCTAGGTAGGTATTCAGTTGAGATAAATCTTGCTTTCCCTCACAGCAGAAGCAGACCAAGGAAACTATCATCCAGGCAATAATGGCATTTTCTTCCTAGATAAGCACCGAAACGTGTATGTCACCAGCCAAAATGTGAAATCAGTTTTATCTTCACTAGCTGAAGTACTTAAGGTGTGCATAAGTAATAGCATCCCTTGAGTCACTGGCATCCCTTGAACTTCAGCTGCTTTGGGGCATTTATATTAACTAGTCCCCATTTTTATTCCCTAATTTAATGAACTTGTAATTAAAACCTTTTGCCCTTATGTATACTCCGTACACCTAATTTGAGCCTCAGTTATGTCTTCAACACATAGCTAGTAAAAGGAAAATTATAGGAGAAAGATTCGAGTAAGATGACTAAACATAATGAGTAAATTCATTTTGATTAAGGATTTGACATTTCCTTTCTGCTTTGGGCAGCCAACAACCAGTCGAGGACAAATATTCGGACCTCCGATATGACCCACACTGGAAGAGTAAGAAGGAGGAGAGGAAGTTGTTGACCATGGAAGCATTATCAGAGTCTGTAGACAGCTCTACTGAAAATCTGACTCTGGATCCACTGTACCCTTCCAAGGAGCCCTCAGTGGAACCCTCGGGGGAGAAAGGCGAACGCAAGAGTAGCCCACAGAGCGTTGCCTCTCTGTTTGGCAGTGAATTTTTAAGCCCAAACTATGAGCATGGTGCCCATCACAGCCGGCCATTTTCAGAGCTGAGCGACGGTGATCTGGGGGAGAAGTCAAGCAACCTCTCTCATTACTTGAAGAGTTCAAGTTCACACAATGAGGTTTTCCTGCCAGGATCACGTGGCCGTCAGCGAAGGAAGTCCAAACAATATTTCGTGGAAAAAAACAAGCTGACTTTGGGATTACCTAGTCCTAAAACGGACTCTTATCTTCAACTTCACAGTAAAAAAAGGGGGGACGTTCTCCCAGAACAGGTACGTAAGTGCTACTTAATAATCTCTTCCAAGCACTGGAATGTGCCTCTGTTTGAAATGGCTGGAGATCACTTCCTTCGAGATGGTGACGTCATTACAGCCACATGGCTGAGTAAAACAAACGTCCTATCCCTTGCTCGTCTTTGAAGAATCAAGGGAATTAGTCCACGAATTCTTTTTTTTAAGATTTAATTTATTTATTAGAGAGAGAGAGAGAGAGAGCAAGCAGGGGGAGTGGCAGGCAGAGGGAGCAGAAGCAGGCTTCCCACCAAGAGGGGAGCCAGACACGGGGCTCGATCCCAGGAACCTGGGATCATGACCTGAGCCGAAGGCAGAAGCTTAACAAACTGAGCCACCCAGGTGCCCCTATTCCACTAATTCTTTTTTTTTTTTAAGATTTTATGTATTAGAGAGACAGCAAGTGAGGGAACACAGAGAGAGGGAACACAAGCAGGGGAATTGGGAGAGGGAGAAGCAGACTCCCCACTGAGCAGGGAACCTGATGCGGGGCTCAATCCCAGGACCCCAAGGTCATGATCTGAGCCAAAGGCAGATGCTTAACCAACTGAGCCAGCCAGGCGCCCCCTGTTTTGTCTTTTTAATTATCCAGGTGATTCTATCACCTTTCCAACCACAACTGTAATCACTATACCACCCTTTATTCTGTGCAAATGATATAAACTTTAGTCTCTCCATCTATAAAATGGGAAAAATAAATGCCCTCCCTTTCTTATCTGATCACTTCAAGAGTAAATTCTATCCCAGATGATGGATTCAGAATCTGTTAGAGCCAGTAGCCTTAGCTCTATTTCATGGGCACTCATACGGATCCTATCAGCCCAACTCCTAGTGGACATGCCCATGGACATAAGAAAAGAATGGCCATCCTTCTTGGGGGAACCAGCTTGAAATTCATTACTTACTAATGTGAGGTCATTTTCAAATATGAAGGAAAGGTTAATACATTACATGGGGATGCCCTTAGACCTATTCCAAATTCAAATGGTATTATTTAAAATGCTCTAACCTGCTCTAACCTCTAAGTATGTTTTCGTAGAAATGAAAGAGGAGGTAGATGAACATTTGTGATTTTCTCTTAATTCAGAAACTCCCTTTATAGTCTTAAAGGATTATGGTCACATCCTTGCCTTGGTAACTAATAATAGAACAGAAGAATGGATGTAGTATATTCAGCTGAATTCTCAAAACACATAGCTGAATGCAAAAGAATTATCAACATTTTTGACCAAATTTTAGATGTTAATGTACTTTTCATAAAATATATGAAATTTTGAATTTTGCTTGGTTGCTCCTTTAAAAATATAAATTCAACAGTCCATTATCTGTGAAAAATATTTATAACCAGTAATTTCTCCCAGACTAGAACAATATTTTTCATTTGTTTCTAAACATGTTCTCAAAAGAAGCCAGTCTAGACAGAGAGGCGAATTGTGAAGCCAAAAGAAAGTTATATTTCTAATAATAAAGGTGAAAAGATCTTTATTATAAACTCTTTAATTGCTGATTTCTTAATCGCTTATTTTTCTTAGTAGTTATAACTTAATTTACAAACAATATTGGGGTGAGCTGACTGACAGTGATTCCATAGCATAATTTTTTGCTAGGCCAGCAAGAAAACTTTAAAGCATTTTTGACTTGCTTAATCTTTAAGCTCATAAATTAGTCTTTGAAGTGGCTATTGACCTTGTCCACCACTTTCTCCAGGTTCAACTGTCTAAGGGCTGATTGCTAATTATATTCAAAATTGTTTCTTCACCATTTTCCAACTACTCTTTTCCATCTTACTCTTCTTTTAAAATGTAGAAATTAGTTTGACCTAGCAGTGATAGGATATGTGTAACTGGTTTATTGAATTATAGTCAATAGCACTGAACCATGTGTTCCTTTCAAGTCATTATTTATATATGAAGTATGTGCAGGTCTTTCTGCCAGTACAGATTATATGTTTCCTTATGGGCAAGAACTATGCTTTGTACCTATTTTCAATCTTCATGGTAACTAGCCTAACACACTGTAAGGTCTCAGTAAATATATGGGGAATGAAAAATGGACCTCTTCCATCCCTCCAAACTTACTCTGTTTAGTATAAATTGTATGTGAGGGGGAAATGGTATTTTCTAGAGCAGATGTTTGAAAACTTGGCTGGATATTAGATTCACCTGAGAAACTAATTTTATTTTATTATTATTTTTTTAAAAGATTTTATTCATTTATTTGACAGAGACAGAGACAGCAAGAGCAGGAACACAAGCAGGGGGAGTGGGAAAGGGAGAAGCAGGCTTCCTGCTGGGCCGGGAGCCCGATGTGGGACTCGATCCCAGGACCCTGGGATCATGACCTGAGCCGAAGGCAGTCGCTTAACCAACTGAGCCACCCAGGCGCCCCGAGAAACTAATTTTAAAAAGTGATTCTTAGCTTCACCTGGACCAATTGACATCTCTGGGTAAGACCCTGAGTGCCAGTATTTTTGTTTCAAAGCTCCCCAAGTGATTCTAATGCTTAACCAAGATTGAAAACCACTACTTTACACCAGGGATTCTCAGATATTACTGTGAATCAGAATCAACTGGGGGGCTTGTTAAAACAGATTGCCAGACCTAACCTAAGGGTTTCTGATTCACTAGGTGTAGGGTAGGACCCAAGAATTTGAATTTTCTACATGGCTCTGGGTGACGCCACTTCTGCTGTTGGGTCCACTAAGAATCACTGATCTTTTTTTCCCCTCAAACTTTAAGGCACTCATGAACCATCCCAGAATCTTGTTAACATACGGATTTTAATCCAGTAGGTCTGGGGTGAGACTCAAGAGTGTGCATTTCTAACAAGTGCCCAGGTGATGTCAAGGCTGCTGGTCCATGGACTACATATAAAGCACCTACAGGGTCTTCCAGAAACCCAAAGTCGTAGTTGTGTAAGTCAGTACCCATAGAGCATTGATGATTTCAATGGCTGATGGGATTATTCTGTTAATTTGGGATCAAGAGGTAAGAATTAGGGGTGGCAGGTTTGGAGAGTATTGTTTTAGATTAAGCAGCATCTATCTGGAAGGTTTTCATGTTTGAAAATCTGTTTTCTCCTCTTAATTTCTTTGAAAGAGATGACCAATATCTTACAACTAGAAATACTGAAAGGATAAATGACATCTATTGCCAAATGAATGACTAAATGTCAATGACCATTACACAGTGAAGAAAATCAGCTTTTTGGGTTGCCTGGGTGGCTCAGTCGGTTAAGCGCCTGCCTTCAGCTCAGGTCATGATACCAGTGCCCGGGGATCAAGTCCCGCATCAGGCTCCTTGCTCAGCAGGGAGCCTGCTTCTCCCTCTCCCTCTGCTGCTCCCCCTGCTTGTACCCTTGCTCACTCTCTCTCACCCACTCTCTCTCTAACAAATAAATAAATAAAATCTTAAAAAAAAAAAAGAAAATCAGCTTTTTAATACATCATTTTGTCACAAGCATTTATGCCCAGTTGAATCAGATAGGGTCTTAAGTAGTTGTATTGTCTTTGGGAAGATTTGAAAGTACATCTAAGAAGTTTATGACATTCCAAAAAAATAAACAGTTTTTTTTTTTTAAATAAGACTCAAAAAACTGATTAAGTTCAGATGAAAAATAAAAGCAGGAATAATAAAGAAAGCTCTGGACATTAAGAATCACGAGGGAATCTAACACTACCAGAGAGTGTATTATAAACCCTCAATAATTAAATACTAGGATAATATTTAATGCATATATAGACAGAAAAATGGAACAGAGTAGAAAGTGCAGAAACAGAACCAAATCACATATGGGAATATAGGATATGATACTATGATTTGATAAAGCAGTATCTCAAATCAGTGAGGAAATGGTGCATTGTTCAATAAAACAACTGGGTAGCCATCTGGGAGAAAATGAAGTCAGAGCCATACCTCATATCATACAACAAGATAAATTCTAAATGGACCAAATATTTAATTTTAAAAAATTAAACCATAAAAATACTAGAAAAAAAAAATGAAGCAAATTCTCCCATAACCTCGAAATGGTTCAAAATCCACAATCTACAAAGGATTGATAAATCTGACTACATAAATACCAAAAACTTCTGTAGGAAAAAAGCATAAGAGAGTCAAAATACAAAGAAGAAAAATATTTCTAATTCATATCACAGATGAAACTCTAATATCTCTAATATATAAAGAGCTCCTGGAAATCAAGACCAAAAATCCCAATATAAAAATATGCAAAGGCCATCAATAGGAAATTCACAGAAAAGTTAATACATAGAAGTACAGTCAGGTTGTTGAGATAATAAATTGGCATAACAGGTGTGGAGGACAACTTGTTAATATCTATTTAAAATACTAATACATATACTCCTTGAAAAAGTAAAACATAATGACTAAGAGAATAGACTTCAGAGCCAAGGTGGTTGGTACCGCCACCTGCTGTCTGACCTTGGGCAGGTTGCTTAACCCCTATGTGCCTCAGTTTCCTTGTCCTTAAAAAAAAAAAAAAGATAATAATAGTACTTTCTTCACAGGATTATTAAGAACATTAAATACATGAGCTAATATATGTAGTGTGGTTAGATCAATGCCTGCCTTATAGCAAGCACTATATAAATGTTCGCAACAATTATTTTTATTTGACCCAACACATCCCACTCCTAGGAATTTTTCCTAGTTATATATGTGCAGTTTTGAAATAACTCCTGTACAAGATTCTCCATTTCAGCCTTTTTTCAGCAAAAGATTGGAAACTATCCAAATGTCTATCATGTGGGTAATACTGATATTATAGTACATCCATAGAATAAAGTACATTGTAGCTGTTAAAAAAAAAATGAGGATGTTCTCCATGAATGGTTATGGACAACTTATCAAGGTTTATTATTAAGGGAAAAATTAAAGGTATAGAACAGTGCATACAGTGTAAAAAAGTGGGGAAGAATAAAGCTCTGTATTTCCCTTGGTATGCATAAAAAACTGTGGAAG